CTGCGGCCTGGTGTGGGTGGTGAGGGGCTGAGTGGCTGCTTCTGGAGACGCTTCTCTTCTGAGATGGAGATCCGCCCTCGGACACCCCTTCCTGTTCAGTCCTGTTCTCACACACGCCTGGCTCCTGGAGGGGCTGCACTGCAGGCACAGGTGGCGGGCTTTCCTGCCCTTGCCACCGCCCCAGGTGTGTGTGACAGGCCAGCTGTTGCACAACTGGTGTTTTCGCCCCAGAGGAACCCGTGAGTCACTGCCCCAGAGCAGGGCTGCACCCCAGGTGCTCCCAAACAAAGGCCCTTTGTACCCAGGCCCCCACCCCAGGTCAGGCCTGCCTGCGCACACCATCAGACACACAGGTGGGCAGACGTGCTGATGGCGGCAGCAGGCTCGGGCGCGGGTCAGGGGTGTGTCCCCAGCACCCAGACATGCTTCCCAGCCTGTCTCGACCCAGCTCCAGGGGCTGGGCTTTGGGGGACCCCAGGCTGCTGGAGACCTCGGCTCCCAGGTCAGCTCAGGTACCCCAGGCTGGAGATCTAGCACCTGGATGACCTGGGGCAGGGCCTGCAGCAGCCTGAACGCGGAGCCCAGAGGACTCACTGGCCAAGCCCGGCCAGTGAGTTAGGGCTCCGGGACACAGCCAGGTCCTAGGTCAGAGCTCTGCGTGCAGTCTGGAGGCCTGGGAGGAGTGAGGCTTCCTGCTGCCCCCAAGGAGCTTCCCAGGACAGGGGGTGGGAGCCCCCCTCGCCGCTGCCATCACCCATCACTGTGAGTCCGGCTCCAGGCCCCGGGCAGCAGCACCTCCCCACCCTAGGATCCAGGGTTTTGTGGCCACCAGTGCAGCTGTCCAACACGACAGCCTCCCCAGCTGGACCAACACCAGCGGGTCTCCCCAATGCCAAGGACCCTGACCACAGCCGTTCCCGAGCCTGGAAGTCTGCTCTGGGTTTGCTCCTGAGGGGCCTGGTGATTCCAGCTCAGCAAAGAAAGCCTTGGCCCCAGGGCAGAGGTAGAGGACACACAGAAACTCCACCCAAGCACGTCACACAGACACCCGGGACCACTCGTGCAGCTCTGTTCAGACCCCACGTCAGAGACAGTCCCCATCACAGCCACCACTAGGTCACTGGGAGTCAGCACAGGGACAGGTGCACGTCCCCCCAGAGGACATGTCCACCTAGGCCCCCTACATGCCCACACTCTCCAGCCACTCTTGGTCCTTGGCCCAGTTCACAGGAGCCAGGACATCCAGTCTGGCTGAGGATAGGAAGAGGCAGCCCAAGGAGCCCTGGGAGCAGACCCACCCCCAACCCAGGCCCACCTGGAGGGGATGAAGTCAGACCCAGAACCAGGCCCCGGCCGCAAAGGGCCAGCATGTCCTGGCTGCACCCTGAGGTCCACACCTTCCCAGGTGTCTCAGCCCAGGCCAGGTGGCCATCTCTTCTGCAAGCCTCATCCCCTACCCTGTCCCTTCTGCAGCCCCCAGAGAGAACCATGAGGTTCCTGTCCACCCCTGCCCTCCTGGCTCCCGCCACAACCCAGGTGGGGCCAGTCTGCCAAGCCCGAGAGGACTTTGCCACTGTCCTCAGGCAGACACCCCCATTCCTGCCTGCTCTCAAACAGGACAGCGCACAGAGGGCGCCGGGGGGACGGGGGTGCAGGGGGCAGGCTCTGACCCAACTTGGAGTCATGGCCACTCCCAGCAGGCCAAGGCCCGCTTCAGCCTCGGGGCCAGGATGGAGGTCGGGTGCGGCCAGGCTGCAGTCCCAGGACCAGGACTTGGGAAGCCAGGGCTGGAGGGAACCAGAGGAAACCCCCCCGGGAGCCCCCTGCACCGCGAGTCCCCAGCCCCAGCGGCAGGCAGAAGGGTCCACTAGAGGTTCCAGAAAGTGAGCGTTAGAAGGGCCGGTGAGGTCAGCCCAGCACCTCTCACTGCTCCAGTGTGGGGCTTGGGGACAGGGCTCAAGCTGAGGCCGTCCAGCACTGCACCGGCCACCCTGAATCCCAGCTCCCAAACCAGAGAGGCCAGGCCAGGGAAAGAGCCTGATCCCCAGGCCCCCCATCCCCGGAACCCTCACTGAGCCCCCTGCCTTGAGCAGCAACAGCTCCTGCAAACCACCCACAGAACCCTCTGCTCAGGCTGGGTGGCTGTGACCACAGGGCCCAGGGCCCTTTAGGGGTGCTGCAGACCCTGGGAGCTGAATGAGCACTGAAGCTTGAGTCAGTCGCCGGGAGATGGTGCGGCTGAGAAAATGATGCAGTTGGGGCAGGGAGTGGGCTTTGAGGGGCTTCACCCTGCACTTAGCCCCTTGTCTGCACTGGGAGCCCAGCCTGTGTCCTTGAGGGCAAGTCTGGGCCTGGGGCCTAAACCCCAGGCCACTCCAGCTCACTCCCCAACCCTCCTAGAGCAGCCACTACTGCCTATCCGGCCCCCCATTTCTTTGCTCCTGTACCCCCAGCCCAGGGGCTCAGTTGGAAACTGCACATTCCAGGGGAATTACAGCTAAGTGACTAATGACCTCCGATTAGGGGGCAGAAACAGGGACAAAAATGAGACAGACCAGGTGGTGGGGGGCAGTGGAGCCAGGGTGTCGGGGCAGCCCCCTCCCCCCCCCGCCGCCCACCC